GTCTGTGTGTATTTATATTCTTCATATCGGATCGGATCGTATCGGAAAGGTGGTGCAAATGTTTATAAATATATATTAAGGAACACCTTACTATATATGCGTGATAAATCCAATGAAATGTGTTTGTGGCTGATGGCTTAAAGCGCCAGCACAGGCATCGGAGTGAGCACCGACGTCGGCAGCGCAGCAGCGTCGGATTGGAATGTTAACTGGGAGCAATAACAACAACAACCACTGAAGCAACTGCAGCACCACCAACTACAACAAAAACAAATCCAGGAAAACATACCAACAAATAAAAGCAACTATAGCTGAAAACATCATTGAAAATCGGGTAAGTCAAGTCATATGGTTTTGGTGTCTCATTTTCGGGACTACTTGTTTTTGAGCCTGTTTTAAGGACTCCGCCCAACGCCCTTTTTTGCAGCGTCGCGCTGTCTGCTTCCTTAATACACTTGTCGTTGTGTGAGTGCGTGTGTGCGTGTGTGTCGGTGTGAAAGTGAGGAAAGATTGCAAAAAAGGGATAGCGCAATTGGGCAAATAAAAAAGTGGTCAAATAAGTTTGCACAATTCCATCAATGAAAAGCAAATATTGCATAAACATTTGCCTCATTATGAGGATGAGAAGTATAAATGCAGATGAAATGGGCAGCGAAAAACAAAATACTTGTATAGGCGCACAGTGAGCACACGATACAGTGGCTACAAAAGAAAAAAAACACAAGAATGCTGATTGTTTACACAAAAATACATCATAAAAGGTTTTCCTTAGAAATTCCTTAAAAGGTGCACACTGATTTGCTTTCTGAGTTACAACTGTATTTGTTTTGCCTATTTATGGGTCGCCCCTTTGCAGCGTCTTTATTTTTGTATTTTGATGCTGTTGTCTGAGGTCAACTAGTTCGCTTCAAAACGAAAGCAAAATCAGAAAATATCATAATACAAAAAATAACAAATACTACGCATTTTGGTTCCAATCAAAGCGAAAACAAAAACACGTTTTACAACTTTGCGGCGCGAAATTCATTGTTGCTGTTGTCGTTTTTTTGAATAACAAACACACATTCAAACGCACACACACATATAAAGCTATATACAGAATTGCTCATATGTACATATATAGCCAACAATCGGGCCATGAATGACCGATGCGTACAACAAAACGATAGCCACAGTAGTAATTAAAGGCAATAACCGAAGCGTGGCGCATCGTAGTTTTTGTTACGGGCTTCCGTTCGTAGTAATGCCTTCCTTCTGTTGTTGCTGTCTTTCGGTCAGTTTCTGCGTCGTCGGCAAAAATTTTCGGTCGCTGACGTCACACCTAGGCGCCACAAAGCTCCCCCACCACCCACAGCTACACTCCCACTCCCTTTTAGTCTCTCTCTCCCTTGCGTTCTCTGTATCCCGTTTGTTTGTGTGTAGTGCAACATGCGTGGGCGTTATACTCCAATTGTATCTGTGTGAGTGGGCAAGTTTGGCTGTGTGAGGTCAGTGTTGCGTGAAACTTTTGCATTGAAATGATGATGTACTAACTTTTGGCGCCCACTGTTCAATATTCCAAATATTGTGCCTATTACGTTACTACTATCTGTGCCCATTTGCACTTGCGGTAATTACGCCTTTGCTTGACCACTGTACTCTGGACTGATTGGAATGCTAATTGGAATTTGCAATTTTAATTGTTCCGATTGACCATAAACCATTATTTCAAGGGTCGGGCAGGTGACTAGGTATATAAAGTGAGTTCAGAATATATAAATCAAATATGCAGCCTTGCGTCATATTCGGCGATGTTAAAAATAATTACGTGAATGCTTTTTTATATGAATCTTATGTATACTTATACTTTTGACATATTGAACCACTGCCAAAACATTTGATCTAATTTTCCATTCAAACCGTACGAAAATATACTTTTACCTGAAAAAATACTTTTACCCATAAATGGGTATTTACCCATTTTGTTTACGTTTGTATTATCTTATTTAAAAAGCTTTCGACCATTTAATTTTATCGTCAAACAGACAGAAGATGCATTAACGTTTATCTGGGAACGCCGTGCAAAAATGTGAACTTTATCTGGAATCGTTGATATACATATGTACATATGTGTTTCGCATTCTTGTTTCTTACTTTCCTCGTTTTGTTGCCCAGCGGACAAATTTTCTTTAATACTTAAGCTTTTTTTCACGTCTGTTTGTTTATGTTGCTTTCGCGGGTATTTTTAGCACACATCCCTCGCTTTTGATCTACTTGCCATTCGAGTTCGCCTGGCAAATTCGCTGGGAGAGCTGGTGACGTCAGAAAATAGCCTGAGCACGGCACCGACTTGATGCTAATTGCTCTGCAAATATGCAAGAAATGCAAAAGAGAAAAATCGGAGAAAATCACGAACTGTGGAACTGCAACTGGAACTGCAACAATAAACATTTTGATGTCTACATTTTTGCAAACAACTGATTCAACAGCGGCAACAAATTGCCTGGAAACGGAGATGAAAAGTAAACATGCAAGAGAAAAACTATTTGCCATAAAAGTCGTGGGGAAAATGGGGGTGGGGGTATGGGTCGGGACCAATAATGGGGGAATTAATTAACATGGCCAGCGGCGGCAATTAGACCAAATAAACGAAACAGAAAGGAAATCGATCCGAGCCACAAGCCTGCAGTGTTGCTGGATGTGTGTTTTTGAAACTGTGATCATTTTGCTTCTTGAATCTCCAATATCACAAAGTTCACAGTGGGCAATTTTTACGAATTCTAATGAACTTAATGTGTATATATATGTAAGGCTAAATATAAATAAATAAAAATATTTTAGATTCGTACTCAAAACTTTTAAAATTTTTGCTTTGCACCACTGGTAATGCCCTTGAATAAATTAAATACTTCTAATTAAATTTTTCCGTGTAAAAATTGGCGACCGCAGAGTGACTTACTTTTAGCTAGGCCAAAAGCAAGACCGCAGCAACGACTTGAATCGCCAAAATCGGCCTAATGAGTTGGGCAACACATGTTTTGATATGACTTCCACAGCGCGACGCTGCGAAAAGGAAAACCGGCAGTCGGTGGCCAAAAGTGCAACAGGTGGGCGATCGCATGCGAGCGACTGCTCTTATCGCATGCAATAATTGAACGATAAAGAGAAGAAGCCGGCTCACAAACACTAAGAAAATCAGAGCTTGGCAAGCGCTCTCTTTCTCTCTCTCCAAAACTCGAGGTTGATTTTGCGTTTTTTCTTTCCTTTTTTTTGGTTTATTTCTCGTGACTCAGTCGCGGCGGCAACTTTGTGCAGCGGGTTTCAGTTGAAAAGTTGGAGGCAAGGCGCGCGGTCGCGTTTAGATTCAAATATCGAATAGAAAATTGATAAATAATAAAAAAATAATAAAATAGCTCACCACGCATGCGCAGCTCATCATCGCGTGTGTGCGAATTGGCCAATAAGCGAATAGATTGCAATTGGCTTTTTGCAATACATAATAACAATAAATTATGACGGTATGCAAAGTGGCCCCTCGACAATCCGATCCGTTCAGCGAAACAAAAAAGGCAGACGATCGTGATATAACACCGCGAACGCGAATTGTTCATATCGCTATTGTAATAATTAAGTAATTAATTTATACAAGCCCAAGTTATTTTTGTGTGTTTCTTCGACTTCGGAGGAAGTGATAAATGCAAATCATTATCAAAGTGCGAAGAAAGTGAAACAAAAAGCGCAGAAAGATTTGCCTTCTTTGGATTTCAGCTGGTTCATATGAGCAATGAATATATGGCTTAAATATACGTATATATTTTCGAGATTTGGCTCTGGTGGCGCAATGACCTCAGTGTGTTTGTTGTTTGATTTGTTTGCCAAGTTGGGGATGTCCGCCTAATTATGGGTTTGGGTCAGATGTATCGAGCATTAGTAGCAATCAGTGTTTTCAGTTTGTCCGTGGTCAATTCAAAATTGCTCAAGGCATCCACAGACAAAACTAAAGTTGGTTTGACCAAGTGGGATTTAACTTAATTTGAATTATCTAGTTATTTGATTTGGATTTTCACAAGACCTCGACAATGGTCGAATTAATTGATGTTTAACTTATAAAGGGTTTTTAAGTTGCCCAATGATTTTTGCACAAGGTGGCATTTAATTGACCTGACCACCTTTCTAAAATCATTTGAATTCAAAGTTTTTAGCGATTCAACTTCCAATCAAGCTTTTCGCCTGGCTGTCTAATTTTCTTGTGTGCAACTGATGAAGATGATCGCGTCGCTGCATATTTGATTGTTTGAAAGTCTCGAATGAAAGTGCCTTGGCAGCATGTTGTTGCCACTTCACTTCACTCCCCTCACCGATTACCACGTTTATTTTTTTTTTCAGCTCCGGGCCAACTTCAATCACAGAGTGCTAATTGTTTTCTCAGGTCTCCGTGAATTGAATTCCCCCCAGCCCCAAGTTGTTCCCATTACTGCAATTTCTTCGCTTCCTCTTCCATTCTGCTCGCTCTCTAACTGCACTTCTTAATCCGATCCCAGATCGCAGATGCAACTAAGGTGGATCGAGCACGGCTGATCCCCAAATTGCATGAATCACTCGGCCTAAAACCCTCTGCACAATCGATTTGCACGCTAATTTTGGCGACGTGCAGACACTCGACTTTGACAAAATAAAAACCGGAAAAAAAGACTGCAAATTCGAAAACATTGTAGGCTGGCGTGTCGGGCCATTTTCAATTTTCCAGCGCATTAGTCATCGCCGCTCTAATCGGCCACCAAAACACAATAAAAAAAAAAACGCAAAACCGGGGCCTTAAACTGTAACTAGTTTTTGCCAACAACGCTCTCCGAGCTGAGAAACTAACCCACCAAACGTCGTCCTGCGCGAGTCTCGGATTGAATCTCGAATTGAATTTTGTATCTCCAAGCTGTCTGGACCAAGTGAAAGTGGACAAGAGAAAAAAAAATATATGAAGAAATGGAGAAAAAAAAACTTAAAATACTAATACAAAAATACAACCACTGCAGACGCGTGAAACAATTTTTGATGTTTTTCTTGGCTCTGTACACGGCTTTCATGTGTTTTCCATCCACTTATTCAATTTGCCATTCACTGCACACAAGTGAAGACGAGCTTAACCCCCAAACTGGACAAAGGTGTGCCTCAAGCCCCCAAACCCCACTCCTAACACTCGAAAGCCAATGGCGCATTTCATTTCTCGACTTGGACTCTCTCATTTTCTTGCAATGCGTGCCAGGCACGTTAAAGTAATTGTAAAAATTAACTTATTAATTAAGCTCCCGGAATGTTCAGCAACAATAGCGAATGCGTAATGCTCTTTTTCTCAAGTCAAATTGCCGATAATTTGGTTTTTTGCACCAAGTTACAGCTGCCGCTTTAAGGATGAGCGTATTCATTCGATAAACTTTCACTCTCTGCTTGCCAAAATGATATATGCAACAGGTACTGCCTCGGGGTATCAAAACCTACTCGGGGTATCAAAACGCAGCTTAAAACCCCGCCCATTGCGAGGATATCCGGACCAGCAAACTTACGCATTTCGACCAGGTTCAAAAACCCGACCCATTGTCTTAGCTCTTCAGTTTGTGGCTTTTCTCTCCGCTTATTGCCCACTTTGTCTCAGTCAACGGGTTAGACTTTTTGGCTTTTATTTTGATTCGACTTTTGGGGCTACGGCTTTTCATTTTGCATTTCGTCAGCGGCAACAGAAACTCGTTGTGTCATACATAATTCTGTTATTGTTTTATTTAATTAGTTTCGTTGTCTTTCTTGGGTGCGCTTCTTTCGGCGACCGAACGCTTTTCCCACTCCGAAAAAAAGAAACACTCATCGTGCGGAGAATTTCATTTGGCCCCTGTTCCTTTGTGGGTCATGATAAGCAATCACTTTCCACGTGCCCAATTCTGGCTAATTTGCATAGTTAATTGTAAGTTGACATTTACCTAGGAAAGTTCAAAATCCGCCGATGAAAGTGAAGATGCAGTGAGAGTTGTTATGGAAACAATAAAGAATTTTGGCAAATATATGTAGATTCTATGCTATCTTAAAGAGAAAAACATATACATCTCCTTTTTCTCCATAAATTTGGCAAGTAATTGAAAACCTGCTGCTTACAACTAAATCGCATTATCGGCGCCCAAATATCTCTTTCCCCCCAAAAACTTTCCCAACATTTGCCACCTGTCATAGGGATAGACAATAGTTTTCCTTTGCTCACTCCGCAGTCGACGTCGACTGCGAAGTTCCCACGCCCAAATTATTTGCACAATACATACATGTATGTATGTAGCCAGTAAATTCCAATTCAATTCAGGCGGCTGGTTCGTGTTTTCCCAACCCAGAGAAATAAGCCAACATGGAATGGCAACTGATTTTGGCCCAACCAGCATTTTTTAGCTGTTTGTGGAGCACTCAAAGCCATTGTCGACTATTTCAGTAAGCCGCTGACAAACCGTTAATGTGGCAAATTGACTTGCTGAGGAAAAAGGTAGCAGCCAAAAGCCAGAAAAAAATACAAACATAGATGCCAAAGAGTTGTTATTATTATATAGTGGAGTACCAGGTTTCCTCGCAATGAAGTCAATTTCTGTACGTACCGCGGGTTCTTTTTTCTGGTTTTCAACCTTTCCCATCCAGGCCGGGCTTTTATTACATTCGTCTTTGTTTTTTAGCTTGAATTTTCTCTTTAGAAATTTTCCATTTGCGCTTTTTTGCTAGCAATTATCTGCCCGGTCTCTTCACTATTGATTACGCCCAGTTGTACATTGTGGATACTTCGATGCTGGCCGATGCCAAATCGAAGCGCTTACAGAACCTTAATTAGTATTATTAGAAACGAAAACAATTTGCCGGGCTTTGTCCACACTGGACTGGGCATTAGCCTCGATTTCAGTTCTACGACAGGGTGGCACGGAATGGAATTTTTATGTTTGTACTATCTGCTACTCACAATGGCATCCATTAGAACCATTTCCGATTTTCACTTCAATACGTATATATATAGGAAATGAAATGGTAATTGGAAAGTATTGGTCGCATTTACTGCAAAATAACATTCTTTTTTAACGGAATTCGAAAAGGTCTTTGGTAAAAGCATACATTTAAAGTTTAACCAGATGTTTTGCGCCATCAGAATCAGATCTTAAGTTAGTGCAATAGAAATCACTTAAAGAGCGAATCGACAACGAATGTAAACGCAATGCGGGAACATGGTGACAACAATTAAGATAACCTGCGATGGAGTGTTCATCCAGTCCAACTCGTACCTTATGCCCACGCCTTCTCCCAGCGGAGCAGGCGCCTCGGGATCGTCATCCTCGGATCGGGTGCTGAAATCCGCGTCCGCCTCCCCATCCAATTCAAACAACGAAAGCGATAATTCCCAGACGAGCAGTGGCAGCCAGTCGGCGTCCAGTGCCAGCAAGCGATCGAATCGATCTGTTGGCCGGACTCATCGAGGATCTGGAGCACAGGACACGAGGCGACGCTACTACTTTGGCAGCAAGGACATCTACTGGTGCAAGCAGAGCAGGGAGGCAACTGCATCGGCCACGTTCTCCGGCTCGGGCTCGGGCTCGGGACTAACGCGCAGCGCCAGCAGTGTCACCCACAAGGAGGCGGCCACCCACGCCACCCACACTGGTGGTCAGGTGATCTCCCGTGCGCGTCGCAAGCCCATCCTCCTGTGTAGCAGCCTGAGCGCTGCCTACGCGCCTCCTCGTCGCCGCGAGTTTTACTTCTGCGACAAGTATGCACCCGGACCAGGAAGGAGTACTACAACTACAACCACTTCATCCGCAACATCTGCCAAGCACGAATCCTCCCCGCCCATCGACGCACGTCTGCTGAACTTCCTGCGGTGCGCCCATCGAAAGTTCCAGGCATCCAAAGCCAAGTCTGAGCTCCAACAAACCAAAGACAAATCCCTCGGAAATTCCAGGGAGAGGGCTAGTAAGAACGGACAGAGGACATCCCGCTCGCTGCCACCCATTGCCAGCTCGGAGGAGTGGATCGGTTAGTAAATGAATAGATCTTTATTCTAAGGAATCGAAAAAGGACGTTACTATATCAAACCATCAACAGCAAAATAATTATTATTAGTCAGTTTCAAACTTTTTTTTTTTTTTGTTTCCAGAACTCTGGTAGTTCTTTCTCTTTAAGTTGCTTAAATAAGTTTTGTGCATCGCGTACAAATTCATATCTCATAACAGTCAGCAATTCAGCCCCGCTCCCAATTGTTGCGGCTGGTGTTGCAAGCGGTACGCAGATTTGGTTTCAAGCCTTCGACATTGGGCAGGGGTATTGGATTATGGTCTAACCGTTGGCCAATAACTGGCGGTGTCCAGTTGCGGCTGCTCCAAGAGCCCGTGGGGATTCAAAGAAGGGAAGGGCGGAGATTCTTAAGCCGCACAAACTCCGTTCCGCTCAGGGTCAACCACATGGGGCAGCTAACCGTGTAATTAGCAGATACATGTACCTCTGTTTCTGCACAAGTGTAGGCTTGGCTTCCTTCTTCCTGCTTGCGGTTTTCCTGCTGCTGCTCATCGCCTCGCATGCGATATGCAAATTTCTGTGCACCGGCGAAAACCATCACACGCCATTCATGAGCGCCTTGCGTTCCATTCATGCCATTTTCCCATTTTTCCATTTTCCTCCCCTTTTTGGGGGCCCACAACCCAGCGACTGACTGACTGACTGACTAAGGTTACCTTTCTTTCTTTCGGCCTGCACTTTCCAACTGCTGGCACAACACAACACAATGGCCCAGGAACCTCCGGCAACTGTTGACTGACTTTGTGCAGGAGTGATTGTCTGCCGTGTGTATTTAGCTGTAGTTGCAGCCCCGCTTCCCGCTACCCCCACAGCCAAAATGAAAGAAAAGCTTGTGAGAATGTCGGAAACTTGGTCCCCAGGCTGCTCCATATACATATGTATTTGTTTATGTTAATGCCGCGACAATTATTCACAGAAATTGGCAAGGCACAGGTGATAAAACATACCACCTTGTGTTGCGTTAATATTTCAAGACGGACATTGATTGTCGCGCAAAAAGTTTTAGTCATAAATACATTTTCTAGAAAACATAGGAATATGTTAGGAATAGGCCGTGTGTATTTAGCTGTAGTTGCAGCCCCGCTTCCCGCTACCCCCACAGCCAAAATGAAAGAAAAGCTTGTGAGAATGTCGCAAACTTGGTCCCCAGGCTGGATTAGTTACAAATCCATACATCCATAAGATAGTAATGAAAAATGTTTTTATTTCTTAACAATGAGAATTTGACTATCATTTTTATACCCTTTACTCGTAGAGTAAAAGGTTATACTAGATTCGTTAAGAAGTATGTAACAGGCAGAATGAAGTTTCCGACCATATAAAGTTCATATATTCTTGATCAGGATCAATAGCTCAGTCGAATTGGCCATGTCTGTCTGTCCGTCCGTCCGAATGAACGCTTCGATCTCAGGAACTACAATAGCTAGAATGTTGAGATTAAGCATCAACTTATTTTAACTTAATTTATTCCACTAGCTGAGTAACGTGTATCTGATAGTCGGGGAACTCGACTTTAGCATTCTATCTTGTTATTGCTGCTAACAAGAACGATATCCCTCCAAGAGTATTTATGACTCCGACTTCGTAGACGTAATGTTCCTTTGTTAATTTTGGGAAGTGTGTTTTCTGCAGTAACTGAAACAATAAGGAAGCAATACAAAAGGTTCTCACGTATGTGCTCGTTGGCTCTAAAGGTGTAGCACTGTTTTCCTTTCCTATATCTCCTGCCCACTCATATTCAATTTCACCACCTGTCTTGGCAGCCAAGGGTGGCAGACAGAGCTTTCGTTAGCTAAGTCGGTTGTTTCTGGGGATTAGGTAAAATACTTGGGCGTTACTTAAAGTTTCCACCGAGATCAGTCATTAAAAAAGAGAATAAATCTTTAGTGTTGCAGACAAATGGTTTATATTTGAAAGCAGTTGTCTAACATCCGAATAAATATGTCAATATTTGAGTTCTCCATTTCTGCCACATTTTGCGCAGTGCATTTTCGTAGCTTTGCCTAATTAGTATGAGGTAATCGGTACAGTCGGATTACTGCGCATTTCATTTGACTTTTGCTCAACACCCACAACCAGTCCACAGTGCATTGCAAAAGTATTCGTACCCGCACGCTATGTGTGCGTTGAACTGCCAATTGTCAGTTGCCAATGAATCATTCAATTTTATTGTTTGCAATTTTTTGCTCGCGAGCCTTTGGACGCATTTTTTGCACTCATGTCCGGCAGATCGCTGTCTTTTATTTTGGCCTTTTGCATTTTTATGATTATTTTAATTTGAGACTTTTCACAATACACAAATACCGAGTTTGATGCTCATCTGCTGCCGCCCATTGTTTATTCATTCGAGAACAGTTGATTTGTAATTGGGGAGCGTGTTTCGGCACCGCTCCCCTTCTTTTATTTACCTTTTTTGTTTACGAATTCCAGTGGTGGTTTATGTTCGACTGGCGTCTACAACACTTGGCTAGCCAAAAAGTAAAGTGCTTATTAATTATTTGTGGCGATTTTGTTTGGGCATTTTGCAAGAACAGCGCTGTTTTTCCGCTCATTATTTACACTCGACCAAGCCACAGGTGTGTGTGGCAACACCTGTCGATACAACCGACGTATGTATGTAGGCATAACCTGCCTAGCACGCACATGCAAAGTCGCTGATGTAAACGTCCACAGATGCGGGGGAACACTGTAATTGGCCTGTCACCGGCGTTGACTAATCAAAGGCTCCGAATCACTCCCAGCGATGACAGGTTGAATGGGCATTGGCTTAACGCAAGATTATACCCGGCACTTGAACGTTAATACCTGGTTGTACTCTAATAAAGAGGGTATTTTGACTTTCTTACAGAGTGAAGTAGTGATCACAAATTCGTTGATTTAGATTTAGATCGTTTAATCAATGGTAGCTCCATGTTTTTTATTTATAAACAAGGTCAATTTGTCGGAATTAAAAGAGATTTCATGCTTCCCCTGACTCACACTTCATGGGTTTACTTGGGATAAGGATGAGTGTTCCACTTACTTGGGGTCAATGTCGAGGCAGAAGAAACAAAGTCCTCGTTCATTGCTCAAGTTCAAAATAACCACTATCACGCTGCTGTAAAAGCGATACGAAATTCAAAGGCTCTTTTGAAATGTATATTCCAAAGTCTAAGGCATACTATTAACTATATTACAAACTATTAAATTAAATAATTATTGAGTCTTAAGTGTTTGACTGAAGACCAAAACTGGTTTTAATATTTGTTTTTAATTAACAAAAGTCTCAATAGCGTTTAGGATTTATTTGTTCTATACGAACCGTAGGTTCGATTTACTTTTCTCGAAGCAGCGCTAAATTTCCTATTTGTAGCCCGAACAATTGAAAAAAAAAGTGGCCAGTACGCAAATACAAAGACTATTGTCTGGAGGTGTGACTTCAAAGCTCCGACTCCGCTGAACAGGAAGCCGCTGACGAATGGCGATGACTACGACTGCATGACCGAACGACTGCAGTTCCAGATTGGACTCTCCAGTCCGAACAGTCATGCTAAACCAATTTAGACCGATAACCGAAACTTCGGTTTGCTGCGAATGGCGGATGTGACTCCAAATAATTTACGGCATTTACGGGCAAGGTCTGGGGCCTTCGAGAGCGGTAAACTGACCTGCGCGTGCCTCCTCCTTCACTGCCATCAACCTGTCGCTATTTAAACAATGCCCACGCCTCAACTTCACCTCACTCCCACGATAAATTCACGTCGCAGAATGAGAACTTAATATGCAAAACGCGTTTCCGCCCAGCGAGCGAGATTCGCTAATGAAATTTGCATAAAACTAAGAAATTAAGCCCCTGAAAAGAGGCTTCGCTGCCTAAGACAGCGCAATTACAAGTTAAGTAAATTCGGCAGGGAGAATGGCAAAAAGGTTGGAAGAACATGTGGCATTTTGGGCTTGGCACGAGCACTTAGAACAAATTGTTAGGCGTCTACACAAGTGTTTTCATTGCAGTGCATTTAAAATTCAAATTCGGAATCAGTAACTTCAATTCACAAAAGCAGACATTTACGTATGAAAGTGAATCAAATCCTTCTTCAGATAAATGTAACCATTTTCAAATATAACATTTGATTTAAAGTTATATTAAAGGCATTTGTCTTCTAATTTCTTTGCGTGCACAGATTTGCGGGTAGCTTTAAAGCGACACGAAACTGACTCATCCTGAATCCGAATTCGTGTCCAGGCACACACAGTAGCCCAAAGCCTGAAAGTGGCCAATAAAGTGGGTTTAATTATGCCCGTCACATGCGAATGCTTTACATTTGGAGAGCAGATTCGCGCGGTTCACCCGATTAACATGCCATTTGTGTCCATTTGAGTCACTGAGCTGCGTTTTGAGTGTGTTGACCAACAATTAGCATTGCGCATCAAAGTCGCTTATGCAATCGTTGCTATTTGTCCACTGACTTGACTGACTGATTAAATAAACGTGAGTTTGGCCTTCATTCGATCACGGGAGTTGATTTGGCTTGGCTATACAGAAAAAGCAACTCGATCGGTGAATGCGGCTATCTATATAAGCGAATCAGATATCATAAGTGATAAATGCGTATATGCCCACTGAAAACGTTAAGCGAGGAATCCATTTGAAGCACTCTTTGCAATTTCAATTAATATAACATTGTCTGATAGAGATATTGTGACAATTCCGATATTAAAATTGCCAAGTTATGTCAGAAATGGAGAGAATATCTACATATTCCCTTTGATAATTGTGTGCGGGTCATAAAACAAATTACTTATTTGAGCAGCTGATTGCTATTCGAATAAATAATATAATTAATGTAGATAACATTGTCAATAGGTGCTGTGCTGCGAACTTGTGATAAGATTAGATGCTTTTCGCCTCCTTGTATCAGCAAATAAAAATAACATTATTCATTGATAAAGCTGAACAGTAAAGCAATAGTAACAAACTAATATTTTTACTCATTTCGGTTTTTGCAGACGAGGAAGGCCAAGCTAGTAAGACCAGCCACGAGAAGAACCAGAAGCCGCAGCAAAAACCGGAGGAAAACCATAAGGAGAAGGAGCCGCTTTCGAGAAAGGCGTCCGGCGAGGGTGATCTGATCACCGTTGAGATAAAGCAGGGATTGCTGAGGAAGCAGACGGCAACCACGACGTCCGGCCAGGCTATGAACAGCCACGCGACTGCCACGCAGAACGGACAAACCACGGTCGTCGGACACCATCGCGGATTCTCGCAGCCCTCGGTGACGGTGGCCGCTGCAGCGACGACAGGCAGCACGGCTGGCGATCCATGGTTCCTGCAGACCACCGGTCACCAGATGCCACCCACTGCACCGTTGCGGCACAACAAACGTCCTGCTCCTCAGCCGAATGCGGTTTTGGGAGCGGGATCCGCTGGTGGCGCTGCACCTGGATCGGCGGTTGGGGCGGTACTGCTCCACCAGCAGCAGCTCAGCCAGTCGCAGCCGCACATTGTGCCGCCCAGCATACCGCCACACCACCACCACCATCGCGAGAACAATGTGGTATGCGAACTGCCTATATTCAAATTTATTAAATTGCTCTACTGACATTGCCCTCCATTGCAGCACCCCATCCAGGCGGGCGCGGCAGCCGCATTGCATTTGTCATCGCATGCGCTTAATAGTCATAATTTAATCAGCAGCGCCAGCAATCATTCGCCCAAGTCCCCCAGCCAGACGCAGCAGCAACAGACGACGAGCCAACAACAGCAGCAGCAGCAGCAGGCGTCCCATAGCATACTGTCCACGTTTGCGCCCGCCCCCACTGCAGCCGCCGTTCAGCCGGCGGGATCGCAGGCCGTTGCCGGTACCGCTGCCGCAGTGGCCGCCGTTGCCCAGCAGCAGCAACAGCAGCATCTCCAGCTGCTGGCCAACTGTCCGCCCGGTGGAGCGGGTCTGATGTCCTCCTCATTGAATGCAGCCCAAATGGGCATGCATGGCGCAAACGAGCGAGCGCTGCCGCCAAAGAGTCTGGCGCTGAGTGGCAGCCAGCACGGCAGCAACATGCTATTGCACACAGCACCGCAACCGCCACAGGCATCCCAGCCAGCGGCAGTGGTCGGCGTCAGTGGCAGCGGATCGGCGGGCATGTCCACCTCGCTGCACAGCTTCGACATTAATGGCGTCACCGCATCCAGCGGGGTGAATGCGAGCAGCGCGTGGTCCAGCGGCTCCACGACTGCCATGAACCATGCTTCCCTGTCGCCCACAGCGATGGCACCGCAGCAAGGTCGGTCCAGGTGCGAGGTCAAACTGAACGCCATGCCGTAAGTTGATAAGCAATATGGAAATTGTGCAGTCCATTAGTTTCCCACGCTAAACGTAAAGATTGTAATCAATGTGCTTCTCCTTAGATGGTTTCATGGCAGCATAACGCGGGATGAGGCGGAGCATCTGCTGCAGCCACGTGAGGATGGACTGTTCCTGGTTCGCGAGTCCACAAACTTCCCCGGCGACTACACGCTCTGCGTTTGTTTCCAGTCCAAGGTGGAGCACTACCGGGTCAAGTACCTAGAGAACAAGCTGACCATCGACGACGAGGAATACTTTGAGAATTTGGGCCAGCTAGTGGCGGTAGGTCAACGGACAAAAGTTAGCAACAAAACATATTTAACCTGTTCATCTCTGCAGCACTACGAGGCGGATGCGGATGGGCTTTGCACTCAGCTGATTAAATGCTTGCCAAAGCTGGGCAAGCAAGAGTTCTGCATTAACTCCAAAGATTTCGTGGACAAGGGCTGGGTGATCCCTGAAGCGGAGCTGCAGCTGCGCGAGAGCATCGGCAAGGGCGAGTTCGGAGACGTGATGCTGGGCATATTACGCAACGAGAAGGTGGCCGTCAAGATGCTGAAGGACGAAGGAGCCGTGCAGAAGTTTCTGGCTGAGGCCTCGGTCATGACGTAAGTTAATGGCAGAGCATTCATTTATTTATATCTCTCCAACTATAAATATTCTTCTTCAGCACGCTGGAGCACGACAATTTGGTGAAATTCATCGGCCTTGTCTTCACCAGCAAGCATCTGTATCTGGTTACGGAATATATGAGTAAGGGATCACTGGTTGATTACCTGCGATCGCGAGGACGACAGCACATAACCAAAAAGGATCAAATCATTTTTGCCTAGTAAGCAATACAGTGTGATTTCATTTTGAATTGATTTTAATTAACTTTTCTTATTAGCGACACTGCCTCTGGTATGGAGTATCTGGAAGCCAAAAAGGTTGTCCATCGCGATCTAGCTGCACGCAACGTCCTTATATCAGAGGACTGCGTGGCCAAAGTATCGGATTTCGGCTTGGCACGCGAGGAATGCTACAATCTTGACGTTGGCAAGCTGCCCATAAAATGGACGGCTCCCGAGGCTCTTAAAAATGGGGTAAAATTAAAATCCCTGAGCACGAAACTGTTGCGCATGTCAACTAATGTATTTTATCTCTGTCAACTTAGCGCTTTTCCAACAAATCAGACATGTGGAGCTTTGGCATACTGCTATGGGAAATATATTCCTTTGGACGCGTCCCCTATCCCAGAATTGTAAGTGCGGATATCGTGGCCGTTCACGGCATTTCCGGTGTTTACTTCAGATGTGACTAACCATGTTTTCATGTTCTATTCCCACAGCCTTTAGCCGATGTGGTAAAGCACGTTGAGGTGGGCTATAAAATGGAAGCACCCGAGGGCTGTCCACCGGAGATCTACGAAATGATGCGGCAGGCATGGGACCTAAATCCCGCCAAGCGACCCACATTCGCGGAGCTCAAGGTCAAACTGCAGTTGCTGAACAATGCCACGGCGTGAGGAGACACCCAAGTGAGTGACGCCAGCGCGATAGGGAAGCGAAACTAAAGCGAATTGTTTAAACCAGCTGTCATTTAAGCCAAGGGCAGAGCCAATCCCTGCCAGAAATACGCCAGATCCAAAGCTGAAACTGACTTGACACTGAACGCAACAATTTTTCGTACGATTATATACATACATGAATATATAACTACTTTACAACAATTTATTTACATATATAATTCATGGAGTAAGTTTTGTAAGCCTAAGCGAAGGACCCCAACACAATCAAGCAATGTTAGTGAGTTGCGCCAGCTTCCGACATATAAGTAATTGATAACCAACCACACGGACTACGGGAGAAGGAGAGCAGAGGAGAAGGGCAGCTGCGTAGCCTACTACTACCTTTAACTACCACAATATTATGTTATGTGTACACCTAACTGTAGCTATTTATTAGTTAACTTCTTGGTTCGGACTCCACTGTAACATTTAACTTCTGGATTCGTGACCACGTCTGTATCTTTATGTTATAGAATACGCATACATATGAGCGCCTTCTTTTGGAGGGTCGCCTGTCTAAAGCAATTGTTTATAGGATGTTTCCCTTTGATATCGTAAAGACGCCAAGTTTTATTCGAGTTCCGTACTCTTTCTGTTAATCGTTTCTGTTTGTAGCACAAAACTGAGGGATGACCACAAAGAACTTGTCCAACAAGTCGTTGGAAAAGAGATCACGCTGAGAATTAGTTAAATTTAGTTACATTTATTTGTATTAAAAATAATAAAACAAAAACTGCAAAAATTATGCAAAATGAGCAAGCGAAACCTAAGCAAAAATTAACGAAGGCGGCTGAGGCTGCGTGTCCTTAAACTCAAGAAAATGAAAAAAAGATATAAAACACTTGTGAAAATATGCATTACATTAAAACTTCAACATATAATACGATACACATTACCTACGTATTTAGCTTATAAATCGATTAATAATATACAAATATAAATTATTACGCGCAAAGTTCGTGGATTTGTTCATTATTCGGTCCATTCTTCTAACAAGGAATCTCCTTCTCTGTACTTTAATCGAATCAATGCAGCTGGCGGAAAGGCAAAGGAAAATTGTAATTTATTTTTTAAACGTACCCCGTAACTAACTTAACAGTTAATGCTTATTTTAATGTTCCCTTTAAGCAACTTGTACATTTATGCGTTTTAGTTTTCGTTTAAGGGCAGCCACTTTGCTTTAACACTTAATTTTAGTATACTTTATGTAAAACACACCTAAAACACCAAGACACACCCCCACACAAAAACAAACACGTCCACATGGAATATATTTAATTAATTTTAAAGTTATTATTTTTTTACAAACACACTTCAATCAACATTGTACACGACAGTTCTATGAGTTAGTGAAATCCTCGAGAAACCAACACAAATATGCACCAATACACAAAACTTAATCGAGGTGATTAAAGGAAGGCAGAGTTCTAAAACTTTTAATAAAAGTAAAGAATACAAGCATGACTTGAATGTTGCGTTTCTTTTTTAGTTCATTAGGCACGCTTCGATTGACTGAAATGGGGGAAATATTCCAAATTAAATTCAAACACTTTCGGCGTCCATGCGTTAAATCGTTATATATCTGTTTCAATTAGATGTATTTGCTTTTTTACGTTCCTTATAATATCATTAAATTATTTATCTATCTTTTAATGACAATCTTAAGAGAAGTCTGTCAATTACATTTCACAGAACGAACCAGAGTCGATTTATATTTATATATTACATATCGGACTGCCAACTACTCGTTTTCAACCATTTACTGCTCGGTAAAAATAATAATTTAACTAGCAACACAATAATGAGCTACGAATGAACTTCTGAAGCGAACTTATTTCTGCAGCCGCCTAGTGGCCTTACGTATTGGACGACCCTCCGGCGTGGGGGCAAACAAGTTACCAGCATTCGCTTGTTGAGCTGGACTGGCACCGCCGAAGCTGAAGCCCCCGGCAGGATTGCTTGCTGGCGGAGCAGGGGCTGGACTTCCGAAGACATTCGGGGCTGGAGTGCCGCCGGCGCCACCAAAGCTGAAGGGCTTTGCGGTATTTAAGCCCTGATTACTGGGCGGCGAGGCGATGCCGCCAGCAGATGCGCCGCCAAAAGAGAAGGGAGCATTGCCGGCTGTGGCGCTGGCGGTGCTCTTAGTGCTACCAAATGAGAAGACTCCCGGCTTCGGTTGGTTTTGGGTGGCAGACACTGCATTGGCAAACAGGTTGCCGCCCAAGGGAGTTGCGGCAGAAGCCGGAGTGCTACCTCCAAATGCAAAGGGCTTGTTCTGATTAGTTGAAGCGGCTGTTGGCGCAGCCGCTGCTGGAGTACCGAATCCGCCAAAGCTAGGTGCTGCAGCAGGAGCTGCCGATTGTGTGGTCGGATTGTTGCTTGAAAAGCTAAAATTAGGTTTTACCACTACGATGTTGGGGCTTCCAAACATATTGGTGCCAGCAGAGTCCTCCTTCTTGGCGGCCTTGGTGAAGGAGAAACCACCAGCTGGTGATCCTGCTGCTCCGGCCTGGGTGGCGGTGTTTCCTCCAAAGTTGAAGCTTGGTTTGCTGGCGTTGGCGGGGCTGCCAAACAAATTTGTTTCTGTGGGTTCTGTGCTATTTCTGGCCGCAACGGCGGCAAACGAGAATCCTCCTGAAGCTGTAGAATTTGACGGTGCAGGACCCTGCGCGGTCCCAACACCAAATGTAAAAGGTTTGGTGGCTGCCACTGCTGGTGTCGAAGACTGTTGCGTTGATCCACTTCCAAACATGGGTGTTTCGGGCTTCTGAGCTGTGCTAAATCCAAAGGCGCTGTTTGTTGACGTCGCTGTGGCAGATGTTACCGATGTTGTTCCGCTGCCAAAGACAGGTGGAGCACTCTTGTCCGTGCCACCAAAGCCAAATACCCCACTTGGCTTGGCCACCGAGTTGTTTTCACCTCCGCCAAATGCAAACATTGATTTGTTATCCTTACTTCCACCGTTTCCTGCGTTGGCTGCTGCTCCTCCAAATGCAAAGGCCGTACTTGTGGTTGCACTTTGTCCAAAAAGATTGTTCTTGCTTGCTTCAGCTGGTTCCGTTGCCTTTGAAGTGGTCGTCCCTCCAAATGTAAAGAGATTTGTGGCCGACGAGCCTCCACCAGCCGTGGTTGTTGTAGCTGGGAACCCAAATGGCTTGGGAAGCTCTGCGGCGGTTGTTGCTGCTACATTAGCTGGTGGCTTCACTGCGTTGCCAAAGATGCCAGGCTTAGTTGCCTCGGATTTGATGGCCACGGGTGACATAAAACCTCCACCTAGAGGTATGGAAAGACTTCCAAATACCGGTGTCGGTGCAGCTGTAGCTGCTTGAGTGGTGCTACCCCCCAAATTGAATACAGCCGGCTTGGCCACAGCTGCATCGCTTCCGTTGGTTGTTGGAGTTCCTGAACTTAAATTGCCCGATTGTCCAAACAAAAACATTGGTTTGACTGCAGTGTTTGCTGCTCCAAATGATGGCATCGTTGTTGTTGTTGGACTCTTGCTTGTGGCGGTGCCTAATACTGTTGAATTCGGCTGGCCGAAACTGAGGACTGCTGTTGTAGTGGGTGCAACAGTAGACGTCGTTTTGGGCGCTGCCGCTCCGAATGTAGTTGTAGATGTTACCGGTGTGCCAGGGTTAGTAGAACTAGCCAGAGTCGTTGTTGAAGTGTCTATTTTGAATCCAGGGAGACCGCCTACTGTGGGCCCATTGACAGGCGCTTGCCCAAACGAGAATATGGGCTTTGAGGTGGTGTTATTAGTAATATTGGTAGTAGTGCTACTTGTGGTATTGGTCACACTCCCAAATGAGAATGAGGGTGCTGCTGTGGATTTCGGTGTGTTAAAACTGATTAGTGGTTGAGATGATGTTGCTGGAGAGACGGGTTTGCCTGGCAGCTCAAACTTGGCTGGGTTATCTGCTTGTGCTGCCGGGACCTTGTCGGTGGGTTTTGGTGGTGTTTGTTCTGTTGAAGCGGGCGGCGCAGGCTGACCAAGTACAAGTTTGGGCACTGAGCCAGTGGTATTCGTGTTTGGCACATCGGCTGGCTTTATAACCTGGTTACTAAGTATTACCGGCTTGCTGGGCGCAGAAGTTAATGTGGTTACGGTGGAAGTAACGGTCGTAGTGGATGTGGTTACAGGAGCTATGATGGGTTTGATGGGCGTAGGAAGAGTCACAGGCGCTGACGTTGACTTTGGCGCTGGGGCATCTAGTTCGTCCGGTTCACCCTGATACAGTTCGCCCTTCAATCCACTTAGCATAATAGCTAGTTTGGTCTTGTGAGTTCGTTCTACGCTAGGGTTCCTAACGCCTAGCATGGAATTCTGCTGCTTGGGCTTTACGAACTGAATGCCCGCATATTCGCCAGCGTCTACTTCCGGGCTACTCAGATCCGGTCGCGGTTGGTCCGTTTTCGTTTCGGACTGTCGCGCATTGAAGAGGGTAAGCTTAGGTTTTTCCGTAACCTGCGGAACCACTACAGATTGCTGGTCAGTCTTTTGCATGGGAGGTGCCGAAATGGATCGGGATGCCGGTACTGCCGCCACAGCCGGAGAGGGCATGCTCAATGCCTTGCCAACAATTTCTGCATCAACTTTACGTTGTATTTTGGCCACATTTTCGGGCGAGTTCTCAGGTGAACTTCCTCCACTAGCTAGTGTGTCGTTTTTGCTGTGCTGAAACTTTTCTCGCATGTCCAACAGCTTCCTCTTGTTGCTGTGACGCCAACTGGAACTCAGCGAGGAAGCGATGTCGTTGCTGTAGCTACAGTTGGGCCGTTTGGCCACCTGCTCCGGAGATTGGGTTGGAGAGGTGTTTCCATTCGACTGCATATGCTGCAACGCAGGAGGAGAAGCCGACACAGATGTCGAATGATGTCTAAGGGGAACTGATACCGTCAGCTCTCGTTGCCTTTTAAAGGGCTGATTCTGCTGTTGCTGCAAATGATGTAGTTGCTGTTGATGACGGTGATTGTCCACAAAGTCCACACTTCGCTGGCAACTCCTTTTCGTAAAGTCATGAGCCTGCTGCGTATCCTGAAAACAAGTCAAGTCTAAGCCGGTGTTCCTTTCCCAGGATGCCTGATGGCTTATACTTACTCCAGTGTTAATGCGCTTCCGGGAGATCTCCTTTAGCTCCTCCAGCACGCTTCTAGTTGGCTCGCTCTCATGCTGTGGATGAGGTGGGTGCATGATTGGTCGATTCTCCCTCGAAAGCTGCTCCTGTTCGCTGGCCTTTTGCACTACCCCTGCCAAAGAGTTGGAGCGCAACAAGCTTGGCAGCGTGTTGCCGGAATAAAAACTACGTTCCGGTGGTGCAATCTGCGTTATCGAAAGCGTCGGCGCCCTTGACCTGTAGGGCATCGGGGAAGCGGGCGCTCTGCGGGGCTGCGTCAGTGGGTTGTACAGATTGCAGGCGGACATGCTGCGCTGCAGACCACTGCGTCCCCCCAAGCTGCTCTCATGGTAGGCCACGATCCGGGATGCCAGTCCGCTGCTATGCACATCGGCAAAAGTTCTGTAAGTTAAAGCCATTTGTATTAATTGTATAAAGGGATTGGAAAATATAGATAGATATATATAAATGCGAACTGTTTTCACATAATGAAATGGCACACAAGGACATGAAGTCGTTTGGGTTACCTGGGATCAACCTGGCTGAGGTTCAGTTTCTGTCGCGATATGGCGCTGGGCGATGTGGCAGTGCGGTTCATCAAGGACCTCTCCGGAGTGCGTGAGCCATTGCGCGAGATATTCGACCCCTTGGGACTCAGTCCCCTCAGGAAACTAGTGGCCGTCGGACGATTGCTTCTAAACAAAGGAGAACAAAAGTCAATTAGTAAACGTTTCGAATCCAGTTGAATTGGTGGCGTCTCACATCAGCGACGCGTCAATCCGCGTGGAATCCGCCATGGGTGACATGCTGCTCAAGTTAAATCGACGACGCTCCATGCTGCCGAAGGTCAACAACCGGTTTTCTCACAGTGCAGTCGGGCGGAAGGGAACACTTTTGGCGGGTGGATCAAACTTCGTCGTAAAGGATCGTGTACAATCCCGTAGTTTCGCCAACAACTTTGGTTTTTATTTTTATTAATTTTAAAGACAAATGCAATGTGAAATTCATATGAAATGTTAACTGTGTGAGCGTTGCTGAAGCGCCAAAATATACCAAACATACCAAAATATACCAATATAACAGTGCTGCCACCTCGGAAACTTATCGGCAGGGCTGCAATGGTGCGCGTGTCGATTATTAATACGAGTTGATAAAATGTTATCGAAAATTAAATGTTGGCACATAAAGAAAAATATCGTTTTAAATCTTACTTTTAATACTTGTTTTTCAAACCTTGTCTCTAACCACTTCCCAAAAATTAAACTTATATGGATTCCCATTCACATTGGAGTATTAGGCAACGCTGAAAAATAAGCTAAAGATGCCCACAGACACCAGCTCGTCTACTCCCCAAATTACAACTGTGGCGACATTTCTAGGCACATACAAAAAAACCTCAGTTCCAAACAAACAGAACTGCATAACAACATAACTCCCTGGTACCAACTCATCGTTCAAGCCACCACACCAAACTTCTCCTACAACACCACATCACAGGAAAAACCAATCCTTATTAACAGGTTCACGCTTGGACACACCAACCTCATCAAAGCCCAACCATCATCAGTTAGACGTTTAACATAGTTAAGTGTCCTTTCCTTTCCCTTAATAGAACAGCTGCCTTTCAATCAAACAACCCAATTAGCGCACTTGCTAACAAAACGAACGATAGCATCAACAAAATTATAAGCTTCTTACTAAACTCCAACATAATTCATAAAATATAAAACTATATTTTTCTATCACTCTGTACAAACCATTGTCACCCCAGACGAGCGGAAGGCCTTAGCTGCTAATGCTCTTAGTTCTCAGTTACCTTATAGTTTTATACTTTAAATTAGCTTTAAATAAATAAATAAATACTTGTTTTTCAAGAAAACACTACATCAGTTTATAAGAGCTGTTCCTCCACACCCATAGTTCTCGCTTTTGCAGTGTGAAACTTGGATCGCAGATGGGCCTTTAAGTGAGTGTTGCGCTGGAAGGATTGGTTGCAGATGGTGCAGCTGTAAAGGAAATTATATTTACTTTCGGAATACTAACGTCTTATTTAAGTACCCACGTAAAAGCCCGCACTCCCGAGTGAATTAGTTCGTGCCGCTTGCGCCCGGAAGCTGACTTAAAACATTTGTCGCATTGATGACAGCTGTAAGGTTTGGCATTGGTATGAATCCTAGAAAGAAATATATTTAGCTTGAGCTCTACGATCTGGAATACAAGAAATCTTTACTTACCTTTCGTGGATAAGGCGAGTGTTACTGTTATGGAATGACCTGTTGCAAAACCGGCAGGCGTAGGGCTTTTCGCCCTGGTGAATGATCCGGTGGTGCAGCGTCATGAGATGATCGGTGTAGAACCGCTTGCCGCACTGCTGGCATACGAAGTTCTTCTTGCCCGTGTGCCGCAACATGTGCAGCTTGAAGTTGCTCTGGTCGGTGAAGTGCCTGCCGCACTGTTCGCAAACACAGTCGCGTTTACGCTGCAGCCGCTTCCGCTCTATAATCTGTTCCTCAGTCATGTTTTTCCACGTAACGTACTGTTTCTTCCGTCTGGGTTTCGTTGAGCCACTGCTTGCTGTGGACCGACCTCCCGCACTCTTTAACTCGGGCTGTGGTGAATTTGGGTTCGACGATACTTCGCAGTCATTCATAGTTTCATAGAAATAGGAATCGTTTTGATCCTCCATGAATTCCTTGTTGTCCGAGTTACTGTCGTCGTTGTAAATACTCTCAAATTCTTTTTGTACACTTGAGATTAGGGATTCGGCATCTTGAAAAACCTCCTCGGCTGCTTCCAACTGAACTGCATTCGTATCTTGCAGCACATCGACATCTTCAACAGATTCAATATATTGATCCTCATCCAGATCTTCATGTGCATTAATATCACTATCCCCATACTCTGGGGATTCCTCAAAGTATTCATCGACTTCCCCAAATGGATCGTTCAGCTCATCCGCCGGCGATGCCATCTGCTCCGTTTCATGTTCTCCCTTATATTGTAGACAGTCCTCATCATCCTCAGTTGGTTCCCTTACTTTGGGAAATTTACGCCGCTGGACGAGTTGCTCTTGTGTTTGGATGCACCGTTCCCGGAACACAATTGCTTGGTTCAAGTCCAGCGTACAGCAGGCGCATATGCAGCTGGGCAGCTTTGGATCATTGTGGAGCTGCAATCACAGAATATCTTACACAATACACACAGAAGTAAAACGATTTTAAATTCGAGATTACCATTGTGCCAGTTACAAGATTTATGTTTTGCAGCATCTGCTCGTTCTCAATATGAAAGAGATTCTTGGGCATTTTATTGTAGATGATGCTTCCGCAGGTGCGGCATTGAAGTGGCATTATGATTGTGGAAATTTAACCGAAGTTTACCCAAACTTCCGCTTAATTCGAAAATAAACAATCAATTGTTTTGTAAACGCATCCACTCTATATATATATGTGATGCAACAGCTGATTTTGTTATCGGTAAAATCGATAAGTGCAATAATGCCATGGTGTCACTTTAAATGGTTCAAAAAGTGCAAAAAAAAAAAGTTTTGTAAATCTTAGAAAAGAGATTAGAAAATATTTTTATATTTTGATTACTTAAAGTTGATCAAGAAGAAGGTTTTGATCCCTGTGCAAAAACTTTGAACAGCGCTCGAGTCTGCGAAAGTTAGAGTGACCATGCAAATAGCTTACCGACACATTTCGGATAAGCTGCAAGAAAAGTAAACAATAAACAAATATTTAAAAACAACTAAGAGCCGAGATGCGAATTCTAAACTGCCGCCTTTGCTCTATGCCCCAATTGACCTTTTTGATCCAGAAAACGGACATCTAGTTCGTCAAATTCATTCCATTACTGGAGTCGAGGTATTTATTATGTCTATAAATGTTATCCAATCAAGGCACTCATTTGCTATTTATATTTGCCAGCTGCACTGCATGAAGGAGATATCCGGCCAAATGTGCACTGTGTGCCTGGGCGATCTGCAGGCAGCCATTAAGTTCCGCCAGCGCTGCATCATAGCCGAGAAACAAAATCTGGAAAGGATTGAGTGCGCAAGCAGGTATTCGCCCACAGACCCAATATTATATGAGTACATTGATGATAAACAAATTGAGAGCGAATTGGACGAGTCCATTTTAAGTCCTGAAGTAAAAGATCTTCCAGAACGAACTTCTGAAAAGCTCTCAGCACCAGTTGGTTCGAACCATCAAACGCCAATTGGAGTAGATTCTGGTCCATATGAATGCCAAGATTGCGGAAAGACTATCAACAACAAGGCGAACTTTCAGGAGCACATTCTCAGGCACACGGGAATCAAGAATTTCTATTGTGATTTTTGGTAAATTATCTTGCATAACCTTTGGGCCAGCGTACTTAGGATACAATTTCTCTCCTTAGGGATTGTGAAAAGAGTTTTGCCACTCGAAAGGAACTGACCAGTCATATGCGTACCCACACGGGCGAGCAGCCATTCGTGTGCGTCTACTGTCCACGCCGCTTCTCGTCTTCAAGCGCCCGTCAGGAGCACCATCGCCGCCATCGAAACGATCGCCGCTACGAGTGTGACATGTGCGAGAAAAGTTTTGTGAGTTCCGGATGTCTCAGCAAGCACAAGATGACCCATGTGGCCACACGGAAGCACTAGTGCGCATTTAGATTTATGCCAACTCTACACATTATTTATATTACACGTTTCCACAACCTTTGATTTTACAGCTGCTACGTTTGTCAGAAGCACTTCCAACGGATCTCCCATTTGATGACCCACTTGTCTACCAGTATTCATAAGCAAAGAGCGGAGAAGGCAGCGGCAGCTCAGGAAGCTTGCCACTTAACAATGTAGCTGCCTATCTAGTCACTTAGTTTTTTAGTTATATGTAAGAAACTTAATGTTCAGCGTCCTTTGTTCGACAAAGTTATAACAAGGAAAAGGACATTTAACTACGGGATATTCCTTGAAATCAATTTTATGCCAGTATTTAGCATTTCTGACATTTGTAGCAGAAAATATTTTGTTCATATTCTTGTTTCCCTAAGAAATAGAAGAACAAGCGAATCCAGCCTGCCTTGTAAATGCAGCTTTCGTTATAAAACGTTACAAGTTCTAAACATATTTACTTGTCCTATAAAAAAGATATATTAATCCTGTGCCATTCGAATTTTATGTCAAGTTGTATCTTCCAAAAATTTCAAGTCTTCGACAAAGCACAAAGAAAAGAAACATAAACAACGCACATACATCTAGTGGCCATAAAGAAATGAAAACTACCAAATAAACGCACAAAGTCAAGCTCGTGTTCCAGCTTTAATAATATAATAATATGAGTATGTATTAAAAAAGTATTACCCAAATCAACGAAACTAAAAGGTGTACGCCAAATCGTAAAAAAAAGATATAATATAATTTACATTTATTAAATCTTTAAGCTATTTAAAAATACTATTCTCCCAATTGCAAATTTGAAAAAAAAAAAATATTCAAACAAGTTGTTTAACAAAATAATAATATTACAAATCTGATTATGTCACACATCCGGTCGGACCATTTGTACTCTTTTTATTTTACAATATACATATATTTAAATTTAAATTAAAGAATTATCTACCGAAAATTATATTGCATGATTTGAGACTAATAGATCTCCGAGTGCCGCAATGGTTCGTTATTCTGGTGGTTCCTTACAGTCTGTTGGTGGGTCATAGTGCCGATATGCTGCTCCAACTGGTGCTTGCGGGAAAAGGTCTTATTGCACGGTCGACAACTGAAAAATGAATAGAATTAAGGATTATCCATGATTGAAGCAGCCCAGGAAGCACCTACAGAAAAGGCTTCTCGCCCGTGTGGGTGAGCATGTGGTTTTTTAGCACGTTGGAGTAGGAGAATGCCTTGCCGCATGTGGAACAAGTGAAAGGTCGCTCGTTTGTGTGGGTTCTACAAAAGGAACAAGTTTAGTTAATACGAAGATGCTTTTGAGGAATTGAAGCAACACCTTTCATGACGAATATTCGAGCTGCGATCCGCAAACGAGCGGTTACAGTATTTACACATGAATGGTTTCTCGCCCGTGTGCACTCGGATATGGCGATTCAGCTCGGATGGACCCGCAAAGGTTTTACCGCATATTCTGTAAGCGAATACGGTTTACATATTGTAATATCAATGCTCTATATTACAATATCAGACACTCACTCGCATTCAAATGGTTTCTCGGCCATATGACGACGCATATGAATGTTGAGAGCCGCTCGCTTTGAGTAGATATTACCGCAGATCTCGCACATAATGTTCGTGGACGACTCCTCGGGAGAGGACTTGCAGCTAGATTGAACAGGCGGTCGCTCTTCGCTAAAACTGCGTGAGTGTCTGGAGCTAGCACCACGGGGTCGGCCACGTCCCCGTTTAGCCATCCGCGTTTTTCGCATCTTAGTTTTGCGGCAGCGCTCGCTGGGCTGGTAGTCGCTATCGGTGCTATTCGGCACCAGCAGGTCATTCTCGTCCAGGTCGTCCACCACAGTGCTAATCTCGTAGGCTTGAGTCGTTTCCGCAGCACCATCCTCCAGGCGCTCCTCCATTATGTTCTCCATTTCGATGTCTTCTTCGACACCATCGATGAAGTCGTTGGCTGATTCGTAGATGTACTCGATGTGGTCCGCCACTATGTGAGGGACCTCGTCTGTTGGCTCCGACTTCATCTCGGCCTGTCATGGTTCCGGTATGTTTATTTCCGGTGGTATATTTACATGCCCAGCTCATATCAGCTCTATACATACCTTAACTACATTGGTGGCAAATGTTCGCTCGCTCTCCTGGCAAAGCTCCCGGAACTTGTGGGCGCTGGTCAGCCGCTCCACGCAATTGTAGCACAGCATGCTCGGGATGTTCTGCAGTGGCACTAGCTGGAAACACAGAGTGAGATAACTCGCTGGGTTCGGATTACAGGTGCATCCACATGTACCTTAATGCTGCCCACTTCCTCAATCTTGCGCACCAGCTCCCGGCACTGGGCGTCGTTGTCATCGAACAGGGGCGCCATCGCCTCCGAGTTGATGTCCTCTGTCAAACAGATCCTGCACAACATGTACTCGGGCATGATTTTGTACGTCCTGACCGTCCGTATGTTTGCAATTCTGAAATAAACAAGCGTCTTGGAACTTTTCACAGGGTTGTCACGTACTCAAAACGATAAGTGGTTATCGACCCTGCTATCGGCATATCGATTGATGGGCAACAATTTAATTTTAATAATAATTAAATCTTTTTCCTTATAGAAATTAACAACTCATGCCTTTCAATTATTAGTTATTAAATCGTCCAAATAAAATAAAAAATACAATTTAAGGAATATAAGCAAATAAATTCTGAATGATAGTTGAAAGCCATAAGTTTCAAATTTCGCGTACTTGATAACCCTATTACTTTCAATGCACTGCTGTTATTTGAATCAGTATTTGACGCAAAAGAGGAGTTCCTTTAGATATAACGATGGAAATCAGCATAAAGTGGAGCATGTGCCGCACTTGCCGGAAAAAAGGATCGCAATCCACACTGCAGTCGCTCTTTCAGTCCGATGCCCACAAGCTGTTGATCTCCTACGCCGGCACAGCTGTGAGTACTCGTTTTCAGTTTGGCTTCCATTTAACCAATTACAAATGCTCTTCTAGGTGGAACCGCATGACGGACTGCCGGATCAGATTTGCACAGACTGCTTGGAGAGACTGGAGGAGGTGGACAGATTCCTCAGCGAGTGCAAACAATCCGACAAACACTTGAGATCTCTAGTTCGTCAAACTCTGTCCTCTGCAGCGGCGTTTCAGACGCTGGAGGACAAGGACACGTCTGGACAGAAAAAGCGCACCAGGAAACAGAACATTTCATGGAGACTCATCGATGAGAATCCCATTATCTTTAAGACTGAAGAGAATTCATTAGAAACCGCCAAACAAGAAGAGTTCTTACCCGTAAATAAATCTCCAAGCGATTTCGTGTTCGTTTTGAACGTGAATCCGGAAAACGAGAAGAACACACATGAGGAAGACTATACCATCTGTGACTTGGATTTGGACAGGGAGACCACCGGTCACAATGACTCGGAAACATATTCGCAAGAAAGCAGCGCTGCTACGGACAGTGTTCAAGAGACTAGTGAGGACTACGAAAAGTTAGAGCCAACTGTCGAATACGAGATAGATCTAGGAGTGGCCTGCGTGCCGGACAAGTACAGATGCAAGATCTGCAGCAACACATACCCCAGTGCATCTCAGCTAAATGCACACATGCAGATGCACTGCAAGGAAAAGGGTCACGAGTGCGAGTAAGTATCCGTGATATATCTTAAAATAATAATGATACACATATAACGTGTTTTATGCAGGGTTTGTCAAAAAACATTCAGAGCCGCCTGCAACTTGAAAACACATATGCGAACTCACACGGGCGAGAAACCTTATAAATGTTCCTACTGCTCGCGCCAATTTGCCGACAGCAGTACTCATCGGAAGCACCAACGGTATGGTGCACATAAACTACTATGTCTACTGCATTTGGGCTCTAATGTTGATTTCTATAATTTTAGTTTGCACACGAATGAAAGACCCTACGCTTGCAACATTTGTGGAAAAACATTCTCTCTGTCCACCTCTCGTAAGGCTCACTACGTGCTGCATACGTCTGAAAAACCTCACAAGTGTCTCATCTGCAAAAAGGATTTCCGGCTAAAGCACCAACTCGCCGCGCACGAGAAATCTCATGCGCACCTTCTAGTTGCTAAAGAATACAGCGACGTGGTGGAATAGCTAATAAATACAACTGGTAATGTTATGAAAAAAAGAGGCTTTGTACTTCTTATAATAGATAACTTATATTCTAAAGTTATTGTACTAAACTAGCTCTCCAGCATTTCCGCAGAGCTGGGAATAGATTGCTCAATTTTGTTGCGGTGTGTGAGCGTTTGTAGGTGAGCTTTCAGCTGGTGCAGCAGGGTAAATCCCTTGCAGCAAATGTCACAGCTAAAATATTTAAATCATTAGTAATGAATACTTTTGAGAGGATAGTTTACTTTTACTTGTAATTCTTCTTGCCGGAGTGCGAAAGGATGTGATTTTTGAGGATGGCTGTGTGCGTAAAAGTTTTTCCGCACTCTTGGCAAGCATAAGGACGCGTATTGGTGTGTACCCGTTCGTGGCGGACCCGTTCGCTGCGATCGTAGAAGTGGCGGTCGCAGTACATACACTTGTACGGACGTTCGCCCGTATGACGACGGATATGTGCTCGCAACTCGCCCATTTGTCGAAAAGATTTGGTGCAGATTCTGAAAAGCAATAACATTTTTATAAGTAAATGCTTGACACTTTTTTTTATCCTTAAATGTATCTATCACTTACTCGCATTGGTGAGGCTTGTATTCCGAATGGGTGATCATGTGGGCTGTGAAAATCGATTTCTTGTAATAGACGTTTCCACATAGGCTGCACATAAACTTGTCCTCGTCCTTGCTCTTAGACTTGCTTCCCTTTTCCTTGGCGTTGATTTCTTTGCGTTTGAATTTGAGTTCGCCATCCGGTTTGCGGGGTCTTCCTGGTTTCCGTTTGTCCATTTTCAAGCTGAGATGTGGTGAAGGAGCGGTTGACAGGAGAAGTTCCTCGTACTCAACCTCATAATACTCATCGTTTGCACTGGCTAATTCTTCGACAAACTCACTCCTATCATCAATAAGTTCTTCCATTTCTAGATCATCAACGTAGGAGTCCATCTGGGGAATCAACATCTGCTCAGGACTCTCTGTAATAGGGTCTTCGTCCTCCTCAATCGATTCATTTATGATGAATCCGTCAAAATCGAGAATTTCCTGGGACTGATCCTCCAGCTGTTCTTCTTCTATTGCAGTGACCTCGTCCTGGTCCTTGTTCTCTGTGCCTAGTTTCAGCTGTAGGCTTTCATACAGGTACTCCATATACTCGGCATCGCTTGCCTGGTCCAGAGCTTCAGGTCTTTCTGAGTCCGAAGAACTTGTTTCCCAGTAGACCTGCGAGTTCAGGCACATTTGGCGAAAGTTGAGCCACATGTGGACGAATTCGCAGCAGCTGCTACACGCCTTTCCGGGCAACTGTGGGGATTGCCGAACCTGGGTGAATTGGAGCGCTAAAGTATGATATATAACCCATCTAGTAAGCTCCACTCACCCTAATCCTACAGCATAGCTCAAACTTTTCCCTAAGGTCACTGTCGCCGCCTTCACCCTCAAACAGGGAGCTCATTTCGCCCTCATCGACATCGCCCAAGCAGATCCTGCATTTCAGAATCCCGGGCAAGCTGGACATCCTGGCTAGTGGTTGTTTCCAAGAAGCTAGAAATCAAGGCTCTTCCAGTAATCAGTTGTAAACAACAATTTCGGACCTGCGCTGTGTTACCGCATGCGATGGTAAAAAAAATGCCAAGCCTAGCACACACTAGTATTTTAGATACATTTCAGTTGTATGTTATGTTGTTAATTAAACATCTTTCTTAATATGTATATTAATTTTGTATGAACAATTCCAATATTTTAAATTAGTAGGGTGTATATTA